ATACAAGCAACTAAAATAAAAAGACAACACATTTAGACAATTAATAAATGTAATTGACACTATTTAAGTTACCAGGATGACACAAATGAACAGAATCCGGTGAGAATTGATCTGGTGGAGCAGTTGGTGGTGGGCTTTCCACAATAGCTTCCAACAGCTATAAAAGCTAGGCCAGCTTTGCTGGTCTTCAGATTGCATGTAAGGGAAACGTCCAATAGCACACTCAAGTACTACCAAGCCCAAACTCCACTATCACTGCTATAGTCATAAGTGCTCCACTATTCTTTCTGGCTAGCAAGAAAAAATAAAAATTTCAAGTCAATATTCTGCATGAAACTTTACTGCGTATGTGGTTGGATGTGTGGGGAATGCTATAAAGACTACAAAGGAAGAAATATACAGATCAAGGAATTCAATGTGATAAACGAAAAACAGTGAAATAAAAGGTTCACATACCGACATATAATGTAAGTTCCAACAAATGTATCCCTTTGACCATAGAGCTAGCTAGCATGCACTCACACCAAAATCAGTAATCTTCACTTCCCCTTTTTGATTTACCAGTAAATTGGATGGTTTTATGTCCCTGGTGATTACGTGTCTTTCATTGTGCAAGTACACAAGAACTTGCAAAACCTGAAATATACAAAAGGAAATAGGCTATTCAGCAGAAACAGAGAAGTTTTAAAATGTTGCAAGTGAATTTTGTTTGTAGCAAGCTGCCCAACATGAGTAATAAGAAGGAAGCTCACAGACCTGCTTACACACAACTGCAAGATAGGTCAAGAATGGGATTAACTTGTCGGATCACATCTGCAGAGAACCACGATCCATATACTCTAGCACAAGAGAATAACTCCATTGTGATAAAAAGAGTGGTAGCAACACAACATGGGAACATTGTGATGCCTGATTATTTTCAGCTCCTGCACAATTTGTTTGCGGATATCCTCTGTATGTTCACTGAATGACCTGTAATACACAACTCGGCGAAATTCCATGGTTCAGAAATCAATTCCCTATGCATCTCTTTGGTTTGAGAATCGTGTAGTACTAAACTTACAAATAGGAACCGCATAAAAAGTTCTTTTAGGGATGATGAAATGTGTTTTTTTTTCTTTTTTAATAATTTCTAAACGTGAAACACCCTAAACCCTCCTATTTTTTTTATAATTGAATAAGGAAAAGGAAAGATACTTACGATTCAAACAAATTAAAAACTCATTCATCTAGCAAATGGTTGAAGAACATAAGTTAAAGCCACAAAGCAAACAGGTCAGTATAGTTTTATATGGAACCCAAGGAATCAAAAGACATAGTTGCTAGTATAATGACCTTCAATGCAAACAGTCTTCCAATCCATTTATGACGAACAAGTTGTACAACACCGCCACTTCCCTTTCCAATTACTTTGATTGTCTCGAGGTTTCAAGAGAACTCAAAATCAAGCTCCTTGCAATCGGAAGGCTGTTCAATTACAAATAAGAACAAGTTTAAGAGGCTTTAAAACACAAAATTGAAGAATAATTGTTCTGGACATGCGGATAAAAGTCTGATGTCATATAACAAGAGTTTGTGACATAATTCACAGACATAAATAGGAGAAGATCAATCATCAGGGCCTGTGGTTATCGTTTCCTATAAGCAGATGAGTTATAGAGACAAAACTTGTAGTGAAAAGAGAATCCTTAAAATTCAAGAATAGTTATTCAAGCGCACTGAAGACTCAAAGTTATACTTCAACCAAATACCAAAATAAGACGCAATATAAATCCAGAATCAAAATAAAGAACTTACCCTGGATTCTTTTTCTTCAGAAATGAGGCGCAAACCTTTCTGATTCAAAAGCAAATCGCCATCATGAAACGTGCCACTCGCTGTCCTGACAATATACAACATAAAGTTCATGGTGTCAATTTAACGCGCTCAAATTAACCAAGAAGCTAACAACTAAATCTAGAGATTCAAAATTTTCTCCAATTTATTGGCCAAATTGAAGACCCATCAAGAAATATAAACAGTAATTAAAATCTAAAAATGTGAAATAATAGACATACAAGAAGGAGGTGATATGGGTTTCTTGAGCTGGAACTGAAAGCTTGAGTTGTTAATGGCTTCTTGGTCTTCATTGTACGTTCTAGGTTTTAAGAAATTAAGAGCAACTGTTGTGTTTCTAGGGTTTAAAGGGTGAGACGTGAGAGAGAGAGAGAGTAGATTATCTTTTCTGGAGAAAGTGAGCCGTAACGTAACTAAATTCAAACGAGGAAGGCCGCGAAAAATAACCATTGGCATTACTTGTAATTTAGGAAACAGGTAATAATCAGATGTTCGCGAACGTATTATTACGTGGGAACACCACAAAACAACCACCATAAAAAAGGTTAGACTGAATAGTGCATTTGTTTCCTATCTATTCTTATTCCAATTTGTTCTCTATTATCAAAATCTCACCTAAATTATTCAACTATTTTTAATTTTTAAATTCTATCTTGTAATAACCATTAACACTACCTAACAATAATATATCAAACATACTACTCAAATAACTAAACAAACGAAAATATTTCTATTGTTGTGAAGTCCCCCATCGCTAGTGTGAGAGGGGGTGTGTTTATATATGGGGCTAGAGGCCTAACCCAACATAATGCTTTTTGGGTCTGAAGCCCTGGAAAAAAACCTGTTGGGTTTGAAGTCCAGAAACAAAACCATGAGGTCCTAAGTGCCAAAACGGACAATATCATATTAGCCATTCACACTGTCTAAGTAATTTTTTTTTTTTTGAACCAAAAATTGAAAAATTCATTTCTCCTCTTTCAAAATTTGAAATTACAAAATTTTTAAACAGAAGAAATAAATATTAAATAGACAAAGATCCATCACGGATTTTGCACTACACGAAATAGGCGGCTTAGACAAAGACCAGGGGCAATGGGTCAAAATTAATTAAAATATTTTACAATAATACTATACTTACAAGAAATCTTATAAAGATATACATACAAAGTGAAGTAGCAAAAAATGAATGTAAAAGTGAAACAAAAAGTCAAACTCTATTCACTATTTTCATTTTTTGCCACATCACTTGTATGCAAATCTTTGTAAGTGTAACATTACTCATATTTTAAATACTTTTAAAATTATTTTATTTTAATTATATATATATAATTCTAAATGTAATTAATTGTTAATCAAGTATCATAAGTGTGAAATGGATGATAAAAATTTCAACCATAACGTTCAGTTTTTTTTTTTTTTTTTAAATAGAAAAAAATATTAACATATCATAATTAAGGTTTTAATTATTTTAATATTTAAAATAAAAAAATTAATTTTAATTGGGTACAACTTAAATATTAAGATATCAAGTTTGATGTTAAATTTTTTAAGTATAATGTTATTAATATCAAAGTCTTGTTAATTTCAATTTTAATGTTTATAGTTTAACTAGTTGAAAGGCCAGCACATCGCGCGGTTGCTTATGAAATTGGTTTTGACACCACGTTTGTTTGAATAACTGGAATTTAAATAGTGGATTTTTTAAAGATAATAACAATTGTTCGACATATTATAATGGTCTGAATAATGCAAATTGATAATTCTACAATAAGGTTTGGAAATCAAATAAACATTTTGTGATTTGGGACCAAATCACACTCTAAATCTATTGCAATTCAATCACACACACAAGATCAAAGAAGAATCGAAGACACAAATAATTACCATGGGCACTTGTCAAGATTTGAACAAGCTTGTCCACATTGAGCTGCAGAACACTGAGGCTCATTGCACTATGTATCAAGAAAGTTTTTACAGATTACAACTCACAAGAACTCTCAAAACTCTCTCAACGCTATACAAACACCCACTCAAAGTAATCCTTATAAAACCTAAGAGAAATCTAACCCACTCCTCTTAACCAAAAGGAAACACAACCTTTTTCTACATGATTCACCAAAATCGCCCAAGAACTACACAAATTGACTGAAAAGTAAGAATCCAGCAGAGAGCAAAAATACACGAAGAAGAGAGCAGAAAATATGTTCACACAATGGAGAATTGGCTGCTTTATATGTTGACTAAATGAGAGGAGGGAAGCATTGGATCTTCACACAAAGTGACGACAGGATTAAAAAAGGACAGCATTCAAAACAGCAGCGCATGGGATTAAGTCATGCGGCACGTTTATGGCTTCCAAGATTTAATGTAATTTGCACATTCGATATATTTTACACATTTAATACATTTTAAAAATTACAAAATTCAAATTCATTTTATTGAAATTCGTATAAAATATATATAACTCTTAGTTTTAATATATTATTTTTAGTTTCTTTTATTAGTTATTATTTAAAAAAATTGTTCTTTTCAATTTATGTTATTTAATATAATTTTATTAGATGAATATATAGATGACATATTATTGAATAATACATCATTAAATGTTTGTATAGATAACATAAGGAAGATGATGTAATGGAGATATTTCTCTCAAGTCAAACACCTCCCATATTTGGTGTGAGCGAGGCCTAATTCCTATATGTCTTGATCTAGCCTAAGATGCTTAAGCAATTGAATTAGCTGGGGCCCACACATTTGGTGCTCTCCTTATTCAGAGGTTTTCTAACTGAATCTATGTGGAAGTTTAATCTATGAATTAATTTTGTACTTTAGTCAAGCTACATGGATCGATGTGCTTACTTACAACCCAAAACCTAAATAAGCTTGACATATGTCTTACCCCTTTAAAGCCCGTGGTTGCAAATTGTCAAAAATTCTCAAGTTTTAAATATATATCTTACCAGAATTTGGAGGTTGTTTGATTTGAATTACTGGCTGTTTTTCATAATTTACAGGAATATTCTGTAGTTGGATCACAAATCAGGGAGTCAATATATTACTGTTGTGTTTGTTGTTTTACTAAGCACATTAACATCTTATTGTGTGAGTGGTGTGGACTTTGCCATGCTTTGTTCTTACATGTACTGATATTTGATTTACAGACCGGATCATTAGTGTTGGATCATGCAGATGAACGTGCGTTGGGACTTCATTTACTACAATTTTCTGAGGTAGATATTTCTCCTTTGCATCTTGACCTTAGTTGGGATGTTATTTAATTAGCTCATCATATAGAATATTTACTTATGATGGATGTGTTTTCCTCACTTTTCAGGTTGTTGAGGAGGCCTGTTCTAATCTGCTGCCTAATGTTTTGTGTGAATACCTTTACAATTTATCCGAATACTTCACAAAATTTTATTCGAATTGTCAGGTATGGTCAAGACTCAATATGGTGGTAGATATTTTGTATTTGATTTCATCATTTTTTTTGGCTTGAGATGAGATAGGGAAGTAGCTCTCTAGGTCATCCTTAGTGTTGAATAGGAAGACAGCAACTAAGTATGATTTAGCCACCTTTATCAACCATATTAACTAAGCAAAGAGTTCACTGTATGCGTCTCCTCAATTTTATTATGATTGCAAGGAAATTTTAATATGTCCTGCTAGATGAAGATGCACTTAAAATTTGCATGAAAATTGTGGAAATGACTTTTTAAATTTCCTATTATGTAACTTCATTTTATTGAAAAATGGCACAGGTTGTTGGGTCAGCCGAGGAAACAAGCAGACTTTTACTATGCGAAGCAACAGCAACAGTTATGAGGAAATGCTTTTATCTTCTTGGGATTGTACCCGTTTACAAGATATGACTGATTAAATGTGTAGCCCGTTATAAAGGGTTGTAAGTTATTCGCTTCATTTAGAGATTGTATACAGAATTGCACTTTTGGCAAATTTTGGTTGGAAAATTTGGCCAGGCAATTATAAGAAAGTCAGATTTTGAATTTGTATTATTTAATTGTGAACAATGTTTTAATAACTAACCTAGGGTGGAACTCGACTAAGTTGTCGGGTCTCGGGTTGACCGGTTTAACTGGTTTGATCGGTTGGCCAAATCGGGTGTCAAAAAGTTTAGGGTGCACTTGGTTCATTATTCTGATATTTTTTAGAATAATATTTTGAAAAAAAGTAAAATTGGGTGATTATTACAATGTAGGATTTGGAAATTAACAAAAATATCTCATAGGTTCGTTTATTTATTAAAAATCTTTATAATAAAATATTGAAAATTAACAAAAACATCCCTATTCATCCATTAAATACTGACAATCGGTCACCATCGTCGGAGGGTAGTTGGAGTTATTGTATCGGCGTATGACTGGTTGGTCTGCGTCGATATGACATTTTTCGGTTAGATCCATGATGGATCTGGTCAGAAAATGTCAGATCGACGGCTAGATTTGGCCATTGACGGTTAGATCTGGTCGCATTTGGTTGTCCAAGACGACCAAAGATATGATCGTCAACGACAACCATATCTTTGTCGTCATTGACGACTGACTATGGCCAAAGATCTGGCTGTCAACGGCCAGATCTTTGGCTGTGGATCTGGCCGGAAAATGTGAGGTCGGCGTACTACCGGTCATATCTAACCGATAGTGCGCCATTATACTAGATTTCGATCAACTTTTGGCAGTGGTGGTCGGAATCTGACAAATGTGGGTTGTTAGAGTGCTTTTGTCAATTTCTAAATTATTATTTTGGGGTGTTTAGTTAAATTAATAAATCTAAGGGGTTTAAAAAGAATTGAATAATATTTTGAGAATAAGGAAATAAATATGTATTTTGGATAGAATATGGAAAAGGGTAGTGAAAAATTGTGAAACAAAGGGGCCTTTAAAGTTCAGCAAATACATCCCTAAAACATTGTTAAGTCCCTATAGTTTTGAAATTTAGCAAACACATCCCAAATACAAATCAACGGTCGACTAGTTGACAGCAGCGACACACCAAACACAATTCCAATCACCTCTTGAGTCCATACCTTAGAAAATCTACTCAACATCAAGCCAAAATCGACCGATTTCTACAGGATCTTACCAACGTTGGCGTTGACCTATTCGCCTAAATCTCACCATCATTGGTATCGACAACCCTCTTCATCACCATGAAATATCCCCTCAGCCTCTTGACCAAAACCCATCTCACCTCACCCCCGTTCACCTCGCCAATCGCCAGCAAAAGTCGACTCTTGCTACCATTGTTTTTTTTTTTTTTTTTTTGGTTGATTAACTCATCGGAAATCAATTTCGTCGTCACCATTGTACTCACCGGCACATCCTGTTCAAAAGTCCCAACATCCCGGCTTTTAATTTTTTGTCAATCATCATCCCAAATTCTTAGGTTTTGAGTGAATAGAAAAATTATTAACCTAGCCCGGTGAAGGTCTTAAGTCCCTTTTTAATCGGCTGGGTTTTAAAACACTGATTGTGAAGTTGGTTTCAAAGATCTACCTCTATACTTATGTAGTGCAGTTACATCGAGTCACATACAAGCATAACGGAGTCTCTGTACAACAAAAGCTTATGACACTCAAATGTCAGAGGGTAAATTAGTTGATTCATTACCAGACTGAATTGTGAGAAAAAAAAAAAAAAAAATGCAAGAATAGTAGTGTCAAGTTTCCTTGCGTAATTTTGTTTATGCGGAAGTAGATGTTCAAGAATCATGCCGTCGAAGTTCGGAGTCTTCACTTGATTCGCATCAATTTTCACAAACAAATTGGCCGAAGACGAGATTTGCCGTTTCCGACTTGGAGTGGAAGTACATTATACTTCATTAATCTCTAAACAAGAGAAGTTGATCCTGATTCTTCAACTTAATCGGACACTTTCTCAAATTTTCATGTATAACAAAAGGGATGTAAAGAATCTGTATCCACATCAATTCTCAAATGGCTGTATGTCCTGAGCATTAAAGAATAGGCTAACGTGAACTCTATAAGCTTTAACACTTCATATAAGTAGAGTGGAGGTGGATGCAACGATTCAATACTGACGACACGCTTCAACAAGCTACAAAGTTGTTGAAAAGAGTCAAATAACTTTTGAGTAAGCATTTTCTGTGTATGGCTATAATCTTTCATCTATTAAATAAGGCCTTCCCTACTATTTATGGCACATTGCAAAGATGGTTTGGATAATTTTGGTTGGAGATCCCATGTCGAATAGATACGGTCAAGTCAATAAGTTTATAAGAATGGACAATCATTTCACTCATTAAGGCTTTTTGGGTAAAGATTTAAGCCTAAAAACTAACAAATATTATCAAAACCAATCTCTTTTGAACTGAGTGATTGACCAGAGATTGCCAAACTATCACTATTTATAGGTGGGCTGCCAAACGACCACTATTCATAAGCAATTACGCTTCCGATTTATAGTGAGAGAAAAACTGGGCATACATATTATCAAGGAACGACGCTTTCATTCACATAATCATCCACCATATCAGGTCACTCGATCAACTGCGGATTTTATGTAATTTTATAAATGCCATATATCACTTTTTAAATATTGGTCGTTCATTTCAACTTGCTGCAATTAGCACTCACATCAGTTTCAATAAGTTTGATAGCCTTTCCTGCAAATCCTTTGTTCAATCTCTCATGGTATCAGCTGAGCTGTTTCTTACAAGGCAAACAATTAGACAAGTAGAAACAGCTAGGGAGCCTTTTACCACTGATATTTGCAGTATCTCTGTATAACGGGTGAATTTGTAGCTACCTTCCCTTGAAAAATTTGTGCTACTTTTCATTTGGTGTTTGAATTTTGATCTGGGCTAAGGATCAGGATTGAGAAAAGGAATTTTGTTTGTTATTTGCTGGCATATCTACTGCAGATACCTCCCAACTTGTAACTCCATCTGAATATTTGTGATGTTTGAGAACTAATCTTGTGTCCAGTTTTTCTCGAGTTGAACGCTTAATTATAAAAAAAATTCATTCAAGTTTTTGATCTCTTTCTCAAAAAAAAAAAAAAAAAAAAAAATCATCACATAAAGGTGTTACTGAAGAATGCAGATAAAGCCTCAGAATGTAATTATATATCAAAATCATCTCAAGTTTAACTAGTACAGAAAACCCAAAACTAGCTAGCTTGCTACAAAAAACATGCGAGTTTCGATATTAGTTTTGCCCAGGTCATAAGTTCTTCTGTACTGAAGGCCTGCAACCATTCACAAAATTACTTCTATTACCCATTGATGATAAAAACGATCCTCTTGTAAATGAAGACTTCTTTGAGATAGTAGCCTTAGGACTGTATGACTTGTGGCCATCCAAACCAGCTGCATAGCTCTTGCAAGACTTCATTTTTAATCTACAAGAAGCTCCCTTCTTTACAAGATCTTCCAGGTTCTTCACACTTGCTAAAGATGTAAAAGACTGAGACTTCCCCTGATAAAACTTTGAAAGACCTCTTCTGCATAACAAAATTTATAAGCTTTAGAGAATAGAACTATAATTATTCACAAACAAATGATATCACCATTCATCTCTATGAATACTTACTTGATGGGGAGTTGAGCAACAAGCTCAGATAATTCATACAAAGGTCCATTTGAAGATGATGAAGAAGATGTACACGACCCTGAAGAAGATGCATCCTCCATCAACTCCGTTACAAACAATGAAGAAGATACAGAGTTTGTTGAATCTTCTAAGGATTCAACAGATGATACTGACTCAGAAATTTCATTACTACCTTCTATAATGACCCACTGATCATCTGGTTTATTTTTCAAATTACTCAGATGTTCAAATAACTGGTTGCTACCATCCATGATCACCCACTTCACAAAAATTCAGAAGTTGAATTATTGGTTCGATTCTTCAAGATCTATTGAAGACTTTTCTGTTGTATGGTCTTTGAAGAGGGAGCATTTATGTATATATACATAATACCTTTATACTCGGTGGCCAGCAAAGATTGGATAATGTTGACCATTTTATTTATTTGTTTATACATTAAAATACAATATGATGAGATTTGTAATTATCAACTGTGTATGGTTTAAACTTATTGCCTTTCCCATACTACTAGGAAAAAGGATAAGGTCTAATTTTGAAGACATCCATATCCGAGTCACCTCTTTTTTATATGGCTGAAACTCAGGTCACCATCTTTGGCAACTTTGCCTCATAAAGCTATGACAAATTTGCATATTTCCCCATTTCAAGGCCAATAACACAAAGTAAAAGTTTATGCCCAAGAGGAATCTCTACACTTAGCAGACCGCACCAATTTTTGGTGGGCATGGATAATACTTCCACCAATTCTTGTTTAACATGATATAATTCAAGAATTTCATTTTTCACCATTTTCACTCATGTGTACAAACTTTATTTGTCTTTTACTCATTTCTCAGTGTAAAACAATCCCAGATCTTTAAAAAATATAATATATAGTATTTATCTAGATTTATTATGATGTATTAAAGCTGTAAATAATTATGGAATATTCATGGGTTATGAGCTTAATATTTAAGGGGGGAAATTAAGGTAGGTAAGGATAAGAAGGTTGACTTAGATTAGATGATAAAGGAAAAGCATGTGGGTATGTGATGGGCACCCAAACTGCCACCACATGCTACTGCCAAATTTAATTCTTCTAGTAATCTTATCCATAAAATATAATGACATCTCACTCACCTTTTCTTTTATTATTATTAATGCTTTAAACCTTTTACTACTATTTTTCTAATAAATGACTTGCCCTTTCCTAATTCCCATTTATGTACCAACTGATTTTTCTCGTAAATAAGTCCTATCCGTTTTCTCATCTCGTTTTGGGCACGCGGAGTTGATGATGTAGTTCTCTATTTCATTAGAAATACAAGTCTGCATATGTAAGGACATAAATGGCATAATTAATATAATAATAGCGAATTTAAATATGTTTCCTGAAATGAAAAAATTGAGTCTGTTACTCATACGACCTTGATGAAAAACATAAATTGCGTATTGGAATTTGTAATTTCTTTTTCATAATTATTATTCTTTTTAGAATACTAATTTGATACACACCTACTAAATCCACTCGACTGAATTAACATGAAATTAGGCAAATAGTTGCGCATACCAATCTAAAATCTAATAAACCAACTCTTGGACAATCGAGTGATTCTATAAAAATTCTTGGATGTATTATTTAAGAGATCTTAAGTTTAAATCTCTCTTTAGTTGTTAATAAGGGTGGTTACCGAAGCTCTTACCCAACCGATAGTTTTACGGTTCCAAATGACTAGTTAAGATTCACGTAAGTTGACCCGAATACCCTAATAACAAAATAAAATAAAAAATAAAAAATCTAATGTTGAACTAATACATTTTAAAATTACTTATTAAATAATAACTCATTTATATTGATAAAAAGCACTTTAACAAAATCAATCAGTTGTAGCCTTAATTTGAAATCATTAAAGTTTGTGCTTAACTTCAACTCACACTCAAGTTTGCCACCCCTAACTCATCCCTAGCAAATAAACTTTAGCTCAACCAGAAATATGGAAAAGAGGCAAAAATAAATATAATACAGTATGTTATTATCTCATTTCCTCGTCATTTTGTTTGGCCCTAATGATTGTATTAGTAATTAATTTCATTTTTTTAAGATTCAATATAAACAGCAGAAGGATACCAACAATTTTCCATTAAGTTGTCTCACAACTGAAATATTAAACTCAATCTGTAAGAATAATTTATATAAATCATATGCTTAAAGTGCTATATGAAAATTGATATAATGTTGGCCAAGACTGATTACTGATACACTGGTAGATTCATATTACACTTCAAATATCATCATTATAAGACAAACTACCTTGGATAATTAACAGGAGGTTCCAAGCTACCAACCAAAATTCCAAGATCAATGTCCTTGTCTTCAAACTTTTTGATGAATGGGTGACTCTGAAAGCACAAAAAAATCATGCATATGAGACTCCACTCTTTCTTAAGAGAAATATATATATATATGACTTATAAAACAATAATCAATAATACTATGTGCACTAACCATTTTGTACTAATCCAAGTACTAACATTGAAAATTTGAAATTCCTCAAAAAAAAAAATTCAAATTTTCACGGTTAGTACTTGGATTAGTACAAATTAGTTAGTGCACATAGCATTACTCAACAATAATATTGTCAAATGAACAGTACAGTGCAGTTGATTACTAACCAAGAGGTCCAAAGATGATGACCTGTCTCGGGGATCCTTCTGTATGCTGAAAATGCAAGAAAGTGGCAGTCAAAACACTATTTATAAACAAATTCTGCTCCAGCAATAAATATTCACAAATGGTAGAATGATAAAAATAGTTATCAAGACAATTCAAATATTTTGTTTTTTCCAATACAAGCTTCAAAAGTTTCATTGTGTCATTGCAGAAATGTTAATTGACAACTGACCCCCCATTCTCATTTGGAAGAAACTGAAAAACTCGCAATCTATAACCATTTCAACTCAATGACAAAAAAGGTAAGTGGCAGTAGATATAATTGTATAATTTATCAGGGTCTTCAAATTTCAGAAGCAAACTTGTAGAAGTAAGCTCAGGTTATGAGACTCAAATTTCAACAAATTGAAACTGAATTATTGCATATCATCAAAATGAAATCCACAAGCTTACGCATCAGATATCCTTTATAGGCTCCAAAAGGAAATATAAAATAATGGGTTGGTATCTAAAACTATCAGCATATGACCTAAAAAAAAAAATAGAATACAAGCAACTAAAATAAAAAGACAACACATTTAGACAATATTAATAAATGTAATTGACATCTATTTAAGTTACCAGGATGACACAAATGAACAGAATTCTGGTGAGAATTGATCTGGTGGAGCAGTTGGTGGTGGGCTTTCCACAATGGCTTCCAACAGCTCATAAAAGCTAGGCCAGCTTTGCTGGTCTTCAGATTGCATGTAAGGGAAACGTCCAATAGCACACTCAAGTACTACCAAGCCCAAACTCCACATATCACTGCTATAGTCATAAGTGCTCCCACTAATTCTTTCTGGCTAGACAAGAAAAAATAAAAATTTCAAGTCAATATTCTGCATGAAACTTTACTGCGTATGTGGTTGGATGTGTGGGAAAATGCTATAAAGACTACAAAGGAAGAAATATACAGATCAAGGAATTCAATGTGATAAACGAAATACAGTGAAATAAAAGGCTCACATACCGACATATAATTGTAAGTTCCAACAAATGTATCCCTTTGACCCATAGAGCTAGCTAGCATTGCACTCACACCAAAATCAGTAATCTTCACTTCCCCTTTTTGATTTACCAGTAAATTGGATGGTTTTATGTCCCTGTGTATTACGTGTCTTTCATTGTGCAAGTACACAAGACCTTGCAAAACCTGAAATATATACAAAAGGAAATAGGCTATTCAGCCAGAAACAGAGAAGTTTTTAAAATGTTGCAAGTGAATTTTGTATTGTAGCAAGCTGCCCAACATTGAGTTAATAAGAAGGAAGCTCACAGACCTGCTTACACACAACTGCAAGATATGGTTCAAGAATGGTATTAACTTGTCGGATCACATCTGCCAGAGAACCACGATCCATATACTCTAGCACAAGAGAAATAACTCCATTGTGATAAAAAGAGTGGTAGCAAACTACAACATGGGAACATTGTGATGCCTGATTTATTTTCAGCTCCTGCACAATTTGTTTGCGGATATCCTCTTGTATGTTCATCTGAATGACCTGTAATACACAACTCGGCGAAATTCCAAATGGTTCAGAAATCAAATTCCCTATGCATCTCTTTGCTTTGAGAATCTGTGTAGTACTAAACTTACAAATAGGAACCGCAATAAAAAGTTCTTTTAGGGATGATGAAATGTGTTTTTTTTTTCTTTTTTAATAATTTCTAAACGTGAAACACCCTAAACCCTCCTATTTTTTTTTATAATTGAATAAGGAATAAAGGAAAGATACTTATCGATTCAAACAAATTAAAAACTCATTCATCTAGCAAATGGTTGAAGAACATAAGTTAAAGCACAAAAGCAAACAGGTCAATATAGTTTTATATGGAACCCCAAAAGGAATCAAAAGCACATTAGTTGCTAGTATAATGACCTTCAATGCAAACAGTCTTCCTATCCATTTATGACGAACAAGTTGTACAACACCGCCACTTCCCTTTCCAATTACTTTGATTGTCTCGAGGTCTTCCAAAGAGAACTCAAAATCAAGCTCCTTGCAATCGGAAGGCTGTTCAAATTACAAATAAGAAACAAGTTTTAAGAGGCTTTAAAACACAAAATTGAAGAATAATTGTTCTGGACATGCGGATAAAAGTCTGATGTACATATAACAAGAGTTTGTGACATCAAGTTCACAGACATAAATAGGAGAAGATCAATCATCAGGGCCATTGTGGTTATCGTTTCCTATAAGCAGATGAGTTATAGAGACAAAACTTGTAGTGAAAAGAGAATCCTTAAAATTCAAGAATAGTTATTCAAGCGCACTGAAGACTCAAAATTATATCTTTAACCAAAGACCCAAAATAAGACGCAATATAAAATACAGAATCAAAATAAAGAACTTACCCTGGATTCTTTTTCTTCAGAAATGAGGCGCAAACCTTTCTGATTCAAAAGCAAATCGCCATCATGAAATGTGCCACTCGCTGTCCTGAGAATATACAATTCATAAAGATTCATGGTGTCAATTTAATCGCATCAAATTAACCAAGAAAACTAACAACTAAATCGTAGAGATTCAAAATTTTCTCCAATTTATCGGCCAAATTGAAGACCCAATCAAGAAATATAAACAGTAATTAAAATCTAAAAATGTGAAATAATAGACATACAAGAAGGAGGTGATATGGGTTTCTTGAGCTGGAACTGAAAGCTTGAGTTGTTTCAATGGCTTCTTGGTCTTCATTGTGCGTTCTAGGTTTTAAGAAATTAAGAGCAACTGTTGTGTTTCTAGGGTTTAAAGGGTGAGACGTGAGAGAGAGAGAGTAGATTATTCTTTTCTGGAGAAAGTGAGCCGTTAACGTAACATAAATTCAAACGAGGAAGGCCGCGAAAAATAACCACTGGCATTACTTGTAATTTAGGAAACAGGTAATAATCAGATGTTTGCGAACGGATTATGTTACGGTGGAATCACCAACAAAACAACCACCGTGAAAAGGGTTAGACTAAATAGTGACTTTGTTTCCATACCCTATTCTTATTCCAAATCAAAATGCATATCTATTTCTCTATTTTTAAAATATCATCCTAAATTATTCAACTATTTTTAATTTTTAAATTCTACCTTGTAATAATTATCTAACTCTATCTAACAATAATATTTCAAAAATACTACTCCAAATAACTAAAGAAATGAAAATATTTCTAATGTTGTGAAGTCTCACGTTGCTAGTGTGAGAGCGGGTGTGTTTATATATGGGGCTAGAGGCCTTAACCAACATAATGCGTTTTGGGTTTGAAGCCCAGGAAAAAACATGTTGAGTCTGAAGTCTAGAAACAAAACCGTGAGGTCCTGTAGTGTCAAAACAGACAATATCATGTTCAGCTATTCACACGTCTAAGTAATTTTTTATTTTTTGAACCAAAAATTAGAAAATTCATTTCTCCTCTTTCAAAATTTGAAATTACAAAATTTTTAAATAGAAGAAATAAATATTAAATAGACAAAGATCCATCACGGATTTTGCTACCTTACACGAAATTAGGCGGCTTAGACAATGACCAAGGGCAATGGGTCAAAATTACTTAAAAATACTTTTACAACAATACTATTCTTACAAAGATATCCATACAAAGTGAAGTAGCAAAAATGAATGTAAAAGTGAAACAAAAAGTCAAACTCATATTCACTATTCCATTCATTTTTTGCTACATCACTTTGTATGGAGATCTTTGTAAGATTTCTTTATAAGTGTAACATTATTCATATTTTAAATACTTTTAAAATTACTTTTATTTTAAATTATATATAATATAATTCTAAATGTAATTAATTGTTAATCAAGTATCATAAGTGTGAAATGGGATGATAAAAATTTCAACCATAATGTTCAATTTTTTTTTTATTTTTTTAAAATAGAAAAAAATATTAATATATCATAATTAAGGTTTTAATTATTTTAATATTTAAAATTAAAAAAAACTAAATTTTAATTGGGTACAACTTAAATATTAAGAATATCAAGTTTGATGTTAAATTCTTTAAGTATAATGTTATTAATATCAAAGTCTTGTTAATTTCAATTTTAATGTTTATAGTTTAACTAGTTGAAAGGCCAGCGCATTGCGCGGGTTGCTTATGAAATTGGTTTTGACACCACATTTTTTTTAATAACTGGAATTTAAATAGTGGATTTTTTTTTAAGATAATAACAATGGTTCGACATATTATAATGGTTTTGAATAATGCAAATTGATAATTATACAATAAGGTTTGGAAATCAGATAAACATTGTTGTGATTTGGGACCAAATCACACTCTAAATCTACTGCCAATTTAATCACACACACAAGATTAAAGAAGAATCGAAGACACAAACAATTACCGTGGTTTACTTGTTTAAGATTTGAACAAGCTACGTCCACGTTGAGCTCCAGAACACTGAGGCTCGCTGCACTATGTATCAAGGAAGTTTGTACAGATTACAACTCACAAGAACTCTCAAATCTCTCTCAAACGCTATTACAAACACCCACTCAAAGTAATCCTTATAAAACCTAAGAGAAATCTAACCCACTCCTCTTAACCAAAAGGAAACACAACCTTTTTCTACACGATTCACCAAAATCGCCTAAGAACTACACAAATTGAGTGCAAAGTAAGAATCCTAGCAGAGAGTAAAAATACACGAAGAAGAGAGCAAAAAATATGTTCACACAATAGAGAATTGGCTGCTTTTATATGTTGACTAAATGAGAGGAGGGCAGACATTGGATCTTCACACAATGTGACGGCCAGGATTAAAAAAGGACAGCATTCAAAATAGGAGCGCATGGGATTAAGTCATGCTGCACCGTTTATGGCTTCATACTTTAACAATCTCCAACTTGAAGCCAACACACCCCTTTTGAACAGTACCAATTAGTGCAACAAGCATCTTTAATGTTCCTTCTTAGCTCTATTACCTTATCTGATGTGAAGTAAGTTCAAGCAATGCTTGAACTTAGTGGAAATCACCACCTTAGTCCCCATGTCAGCTGGATTCTCCTCGGTTGGGATCTTCCGTAAGTTCAATTGGCCTCTTGAGATGAGATCTCTCACAAAATGGAACCTCACATCCACGTGTATAGTCCTCTCGTGATACATTGGATTTTTACATAGGTGGATGGTGTGACTGTCAGAATATACAATCACAAGCCTTTCCAACTAGTTAGCCTCTTTCGGAATACCTTGCAACCAAATTGCTTCCTTAAACGCATCAGTTAGAGCCACATATTCAGCCTCAGTTGTGGATAAAGCAACCAGGGGTTGTAATTGTGACTTCCAGCTCACACAATTCCCACCAAGAATAAAACAATATGCTGTAGTAGATTTTCTAGTATCTCTGTCGCCTGCAAAATCAGAATCTATATACCCAACCAGATCAAGTACAATATTTCTCTTGCAATAATCCAAACCAACATTGAGACATCCCACATTACTTAGGAAGGAGGCGCCTGAGCTAGTTAAATACTAGGGGAACCCCCTGATAGTCAAGACGCGTTTTGGGCTTGAGCAAGGGTTCTTGGGCCTGAAAATAAAACCGTGAGGGGTTGGGCTTGGGAGTTGGACCACCCAAGCTGCCAAAGCTGATAATATCTTGACTGTGTTAGGTCAGCAGTAGGCCGGGGTGTTACAATTGATATCAAAGCCAACCCCAACCGGAAGTGTGTGGATAGTCAAGAGATCTCGTCTGGCCTAAGAGGGATCGCAGCGAGGACGTTGGATCCTGAGGGGGGAGATTGAGACATCCCACATTGCTTGGGAAGGAGGAGCCTGAGCTAGTTAAATACTAAACTGTGAGGGGTTGGGCTTTGTAGTCAGACCACCCAGGTTGCCAAAGTAGACAATATCTTGACTATGTTGGGCCGATAGTGGGTCGGGGTGTTGCAAACATGCACAAAACTGTTTATGTATCTTAAAAGCCATTTCAAAGCAACCCAATTCTCAATTCCAAGATTAGACATGTATCTACTTAGTAAAGAAATAGCAAAGGCTAGGTCTTGTCTTGTACTAATCATAGCATACATTGTTGAGCCTAATGCATTAGCATAGGGAATGTTCTCTATGTTTATTAGTTTAGAATCTGTTTTAGGACATTGCACTTTGCTGAGTACAAAGTGACTTGCTAAGGGTATAGAAACAATTCTAGAGTTAGTCATTCCAAACTTGGATGTAAGTTTATGTAAATATGACATTTGGTGAATTTTCAGGTTATTAAATTTCCTTTCTCTCTATCACCATTCCTAGAATCCTCTTTGCACATCCTAACTCCCTCATATCAAATTCAACACTCAACTTTGCCTTTAAATAATTTATTTTGGACTTAGACTCACATATTAACAACATGTCATCAACATACAAAAGTAAATATATAGGCATGTCATTGAAAAGTGCAAAATAAAAGCAATTGTCATATTTACTCATAGTAAACCCAATCCCAACGATAAAAGAGTCAAATTGTTTATACCGCTGCCTAGGAGACTGTTTAAGACCATATAGAGATTTATGCAACAAGCACACATGTTTAGGCAGATTTCTATCTATAAAACCAATAGGCTGACTCATATATATAGTTTCTTCTAACTCACCACGTAAGAATGCAATCTTAATGTCTAATTATTCTAGTTCTAAATCCTAGTGAGCAACTATAGACAACACTAACTTAATTGTTTTAAGTTTAACTACAGAAGAAAATATCTCATTAAAATCATTACCTTTTCTTTGTGTGTAGCCCTTTGCAACTACCGTGGCCTTGTATCTTAGAGGGTCAGATTGATTTATCCCTTTCTTTAGCTTGAATAGCCATCTATACTTTACACACTTTTGATCTTTAGGTTTTCAAATCAATGACTAGGTTCTATTTACCTTTAAGGAGTGCATTTCTGTTGGAGTAGGTGCCCTAAAGCAAATCAATTATTGTATAATTGACTCTTTGTAATAATGTTTATTCATCAATAAAAGACATTTTGTTAGAGTCATAAAAGTGACTCTATTTTGGTGATAAAAATACCCCATTTGTGATTAAAAAAGTCCCAACATCCCGGCTTTTAATATTTTGTCGATTATCATCCAAATTCTTGGGTTTTGGGTGAATAGAGAAATTGTTAACATAGCCCGGTGAAGGTCGTAGATCCAATTTAATCGGCTGGATTTTTAAACACTAATTGTGAAGCTGGTTCAAAGATCACCTCTATACTTATGTAGTGCAGTTAATCGAGTCACATACAAGCATAACGGAGTCTCTGTACAACAAAAGCTTATGACACTCAAATGTCAGAGGGGAATTAGTTGACTCATTACCAGACGAATTGTGAGAAAAAAAAAATGCAAGAATAGTAGTGTCAAGTTTATTGCGTAATTTTGTTTATGCGGAAGTAGATGTTCAAGAATCATGCCGTCGAAGTTCGGAGTCTTCACTTGATTCGCATCAATTTTCACAAACAATTGGCCGAAGACGAGATTTGCGTTCCGACTTGGAGGGGAAGTACATTATACTTCATTAATCTCTAAACAAGAGAAGTTGATCTGATTCTTCAACTTAATCGGAACTTTCTCAAATTTTCATGTATAACAAACGGGTGTAAAGAATCTGTATCACATCAATTCTCAAATGGCTGTATGTCCTGAGCATAAAGAGGCTAACGGGAATTCTATAAGCTTTAACACTTCATATAAGTAGAGTGGAGGTGGATGCAACGATTCAATACTGACGACACGCTTCAACAAGCTACAAAGTTGTTGAAAAGACACATAACTTTGAGTAAGCATTTTCTGTGTATGGCTATAATCTTTCTCTATTAAATAAGGCTTCCCTACTATTTATGGCACATTTCAAAGATGGTTTGGATAATTTGGTTGGAGATCCCATGTCGAATAGATACGGTCAAGTCAATAAGTTTATAAGAAATGGAACATCTTTCACTCATTAAGGCTTTTTGGGTAAAGATTTAAGCCTAAAAACTAACAAATATTATCAAAACCAATCTCTTTTGAACTGAGTGATTGACCAGAGATTGCCAAACTATCACTATTTATAGGTGGGCTGCCAAACGACCACTATTCATAAGCAATTACGCTTCCGATTTATAGTGAGAGAAAACTGGACATATATTATCAAGGAACGACGCTTTCTTTCACATAATCATCACTATATCAGGTCACTCAATCAACTGCGGATTTTATGTATTTTATAAATGCCATATATCACTTTTTAATATTGGTCGTTCATTTAACTTGCTGCATAGCACTCACATCAGTTTCAATAAGTTTGATAGCCTTCTGCAAATCCTTTGTTCAATCTCTCATGGTATCAGCTGAGCTGTTTCTTACAAGGCAAACAATTAGATGAGTAGAAGCAGCTAGGGAGCCTTTTGCCACTGATATTTGCAGTATCTCTGTAACGGGTGAATTTGTAGCTACCTTCCCTTGAAAAATTGTGCTACTTTTCATTTGGTGTTTTGAATTTTGATCTGGGCTAAGGATCAGATTGAGAAAAGGAATTTTGTTTGTTATTTGCTGGCATATCTACTGCAGATACTCCCAACTTGAACTCCATCTGAATATTTGTGATGTTTGAGAACTAATCTTGTGTCCAGTTTTTCTCGAGTTGAACGCTTAATTATAAAAAAATTTCATTCAAGTTTTTGATCTCTTTCTCAAAAAAAAAAAAAAAAAAAAAAAAATCACACATAAAGGTGTTACTGGGAATGCAGATAAAGCCTCAGAATGTAATTATATATCAAATCATCTCAAGTTAACTAGTACAGAAAACCCAAAACTAGCTAGCTTGCTACAAAAAACATGCGAGTTTCGATATTCTTTTTGCCCAGATCATAAGTTCTTCTGTACTGAAGGCCTGCAACCATTCACAAAATTACTTCTATTACCCATTGATGATAAAAACGATCTCTGTAAATGAAGACTTCTTGAGATAGTAGCCTTAGGACTGTATGATTTGTGGCCATCTAAACCAGCTGCCTAGTCTTGCAAGACTTCATTTTTAATCTACAGAAGCTCCCTTCTTTACAAGATCTTCCAGGTTCTTCACACTTGCTAAAGATGTAAAAGATTGAGAATTCCCCTGATAAACTTTGAAAGACCTCTTCTGCATAACAAAATTTATAAGCTTTAGAGAATAGAACTATAATTATTCACAAACAAATGATATCATCATTCATCTCTATGAATACTTACTTGATGGGAGTTGAGCAAACCCAGATAATTCATACAAAGGTCCATTTGAAGATGAGAAGAATGTACACGATCCTGAAGAAGATGCATCCTCCATCAACTCCGTTACAAACAATGAAGAAGATACAGAGTTCGTTGAATCTTCTAAGGATTCAACAAGATGATACTGACTCAGAAATTTCATTACACCTTCTAATGACCCACTGATCATCTGGTTTATTTTCAAATTACTCAGATGTTCAAAAACTGGTTGCTACCATCCATGATCACCCACTTCACAAAAATCAGAAGTTGAATTATTGGTTCGATTCTTCAAGATCTATTGAAGACTTTTCTGTTGTATGGTCTTTGAAGAGGAAGCATATATGTATATATAATAATACCTTTATACTCGGTGGCCAGCAAAGATTGGATAATGTTGACCATTTTATATTGTGTATACATTAAAACAATATGATGAGATTTGAATTATCAACTGTGTATGGTTTAAACTTATTGCCTTTCCCATACTACTAGGAAAAAGGATAAGGTCTAATTTTGAAGACATCCATATCCGAGTCACCTCTTTTTTATATGGCTGAAACTCAGGTCACCATCTTTGGCAACTGCCTCATAAAGCTATGACAAATTTGCATATTTCCCCATTTCAAGGCATAAAACAAAGTAAAAGTTTATGCCCAAGAGGAATCTCTACACTTAGCAGACCGCACCAATTTTTGTTGGGCATGGATAATACTTCCAACAATCTTGTTTAACATGATAATTCAAGAATTCATTTTTCACCATTTTCACTCATGTGTACAAACTTTATGTCTTTTACTCATTTCAGTGTGAAACAATCCCAGACTTTAAAAAATATAATATATAGTATTTATCTAGATTTATTATGATGTATTAAAGCTGTAAATAATTATGGAATATTCAGGGTTATGAGCTTAATATTTAAGGGGGGAAATTAAGGTAGGTAAGGATAAGAAGGTTGACTTAGATTAGATGATAAAGGAAAGATGTGGGTATGTGATGGGCACCCAAACTGCCACACATGCTACTGCCAATTAATTCTTCTAGTAATCTTATCCATAAAATATAATGACATCTCACTCACCTTTTCTTTTATTATTATTATGCTTTAAACCTTTTACTACTATTTTTAATAATGACTTGCCCTTTCCTAATTCCCCTTTATGTACCAACTGATTTTTCTCGTAAATAAGTCCTATCCGTTTCTCATCTCGTTTTGGGCACGCGGAGTTGATGATGTAGTTCTCTATTTCTAGAAATACAAGTCTGCATATGTAAGGACATAAATGGCATAATTAATATAATAATAGCGAATTTAAATATGTTTCCGAAATGAAAAAATTGGTCGTTACTCATACGACCTGATGAAAAACATAAATTGCGTATTGGAATTTGTAATTTCTTTTTCATAATTATTATCTTTTTAGAATACTAATTTGATACACACCTACTAAATCCACTCGACTGAATTAACATGAAATTAGGCAAATAGTTGCGCATACCAATCTAAAATCTAATAAACCAACTCTTGGACAATCGAGTGATTCTATAAAAATTCTTGGATGATATTTAAGAGATCTTAATGTTAAATCTCTTTTAGTTGTAATAAGGGTGGTTACCAAGCTCTTACCCAACCGATAGTTTTACGGTTCCAAATGAACTAGTTAAGATTCACGTAAGTTGACGAATACCCAATAAACAAAATAAAATAAAAAATAAAAAAATCAAGTTGAACAATACATTTAAATTACTTATTAAATAATAACTCATTTTATTGATAAAAAGCACTTTAACAAAAACAATCAGTTGTAGCCTAATTTGAAATATTAAAGTTTGTGCTTAACTTCAACTCACACTCAAGTTTGCCACTAATCATCCCTAGCAAATAACTTTAGCTCAACCAGAAATAGGAAAGAGGCAAAAATAATATAATACAGTATGTTATTATCTCATTTCCTCGTCATTTTGTTTGGCCCTAATGATGTTTAGTAATTAATTTCATTTTTTTAAGATTCAATATAAACAGCAGAAGGATACCAACATTTCCATTAAGTTGTCTACAACTGAAATATTAAACTCAATCTGTAAGAATAATTTATATAAATCATATGCTTAAAGTGCTATGAAAATTGATATAAGTTGGCAAGACTGATTACTGATACCATGGTAGATTCATATTACCTTCAAATATCATCATTATAGACAAACTACCTTGGATAATTAACAGGAGTTCCAAGCTACCAACCAAAATTCCAAGATCAATGTCCTTGTCTTCAAAATTTTTGATGAAGGGTGACTCTGAAAGCACAAAAAAATCATGCATATGAGACTCCACTCTTCTTAAGAGAAATATATATATATGACTTATAAAACAATAATCAATAATACTATGTGCACTAACATTTTGTACTAATCCAAGTACTAACATTGAAAATTTGAAATTCCTAAAAAAAAAAATTCAAATTTTCACGGTAGTACTTGGATTGTACCAATTAGTTAGTGCACATAGCATTACTCAACAATAATATTGTCAAATGAACAGTACAGTGCAGTTGATTACTAACCAAGAGGTCCAAAGATGATGACCTGTCTCGGGGATCCTCTGTATGCTAAAATGCAAGAAAGTGGCAGTCAAACACTATTTATAACAAATTCTGCTCCAGCAATAAATATTCACAATGGTAGAATGATAAAATAGTTATCAAGACAATTCAAATATTTTGTTTTTTCCAATACAAGCTTCAAAAGTTTCATTGTGTCATTGCAGAAATGTTAATTGACAACTGACCCCCCATTCTCATTTGGAAGAAACTGAAAAACTCGCAATCTATAACCATTTCAACTCAATGACAAAAAGGTAAGTGGCATGAGATATAATTGTATAATTTATCAGGTGCTTCAAATTTCAGAAGCAAACTGTAGAAGTAAGCTCAGGTTATGAGACTCAAATTTCAACAAATTGAAACTGAATTATTGCATATCATCAAAATGAAATCCACAAGCTACGCATCAGATATCCTTTATAGGCTCCAAAAGGAATATAAATAATGGGTTGGTATCTAAAACTACAGCATATGCCGAAAAAAAAAAAAAAAAAAGAATACAAGCAACTAAAAAAAAGACTAACACATTTAGACAAATAATAAATGTAATTGACATCTATTTAAGTTACCAGGATGACACAAATGAACAGAATTTGGTGAGAATTGATCTGGTGGAGCAGTTGGTGGTGGGCTTTCCACAATGGTTCCAACAGCTCATAAAAGCTAGGCCAGCTTTGCTGGTCTTCAGATGCATGTAAGGGAAACGTCCAATAGCACACTCAAGTACTACCAAGCCCAAACTCCACATATCACTGCTATAGTCATAAGTGCTCCCACTAATTCTTTCTGGCTAGACAAGAAAAAATAAAAATTTCAAGTCAATATCTGCATGAAACTTTACGCGTATGTGGTTGGATGTGTGGGAAAATGCTATAAAGACTACAAAGGAAGAAAATACAGATAAGGAATTCAATGTGATAAACGAAATACAGTGAAATAAAAGGCTCACATACCGACATATAATTGTAAGTTCCAACAAATGTATCCCTTTGACCCATAGAGCTAGCTAGCATTGCACTCAAACCAAAATCAGTAATCTTCACTTCCCCTTTTTGATTTACCAGTAAATTGGATGGTTTTATGTCCCTGTGTATTACGTGTCTTTCATTGTGCAAGTAACAAGACCTTGCAAAACCTGAAAAATATACAAAAGGAAAAGGCTATTCAGCCAGAAACAGAGAAGATTTTAAATGTTGCAAGTGAATTTTGTATTGTAGCAAGCTGTCAACATTGAGTTAATAAGAAGGAAGCTCACAGACCTGTTACACAACGCAAGATATGGTTCAGAAATGGTATTAACTTGTCGGATCACATCTGCCAGAGAACCACGATCCTATACTCTAGCACAAGAGAATAACTCCATTGTGATAAAAAAGGTGGTAGCAAACTACAACATGGGAACATTGTGATGCCTGATTATTTTCAGCTCCTGCACAATTTGTTTGCGGATATCCTCTTGTAGTTCATCTGAATGACCTGTAATACACAACTCGGCGAAATTCCAAATGGTTCAGAAATCAATTCCCTATGCATCTCTTTGCTTTGAGAATCGTGTAGTACTAAACTTACAAATAGGAACGCAATAAAAGTTCTTTTAGGATGATGAAATGTGTTTTTTTTTTTTCTTTTTAATAATTTCTAAACATGAAACACCCTAAACCCTCCTATTTTTTTTTTTTTTTTTTATAATATAGAATAAGGAATAAAGGAAAGAATTATCGATTCAAACAAATTAAAAACTCATTCATCTAGCAAATGGTTGGAATATAAGTTAAAGACAAAAGCAAACAGTCAATATAGTTTTATATGCAAGCCCAAAAGGAATCAAAAGCACATTAGTTGTAGTATAATGACCTTCAATGCAAACAGTGTCTTCTATCCATTTATGACGAACAAGTTGTACAACACCGCCACTTCCCTTTCCAATTACTTTGATTGTCCGAGGTCTTCCAAAGAGAACTCAAAATAAGCTCCTTGCAATCGGAATGCTGTTCAAATTACAAATAAGAAGCAAGTTTAAGAGGCTTTAAAACACAAATTGAGGAATAATTGCCGGACATGCGGATGAAAGTCTGATGTACATTAACAAGAGTTTGTGACATCAAGTTCACAGTCATCAGGGCCATTGTGGTTATCGTTTCCTATAAGCAGATGAGTTATAGAGACAAACTTGTAGTGAAAAGAGAATCCTTAAAATTCAAGAATAGTTATTCAAGCGCACTGAAGACTCAAAATATCTTAACCAAAGACCCAAAATAAGACGCAATATAAAATACAGAATCAAATATAAGAACTTACCCTGGATTCTTTTTCTTCAGAAATGAGGCGCAAACCTTTCTGATTCAAAAGCAAATCGCCATCATGAAATGTGCCACTCGCTGTCTGAGATATACAATTCATAAAGATTCATGGTGGCAATTAATCGCATCAAATTAACCAAGAAAACTAACAAACTAATCGTAGAGATTCAAAATTTTCTCCAATTATCGGCCAAATTGAAGACCCAATCAAGAAATATAAACGTAATTAAAATCTAAAAATGTGAAATAATAGACATACAAGAAGGAGGTGATATGGGTTTCTTGAGCTGGAACTGAAAGCTTGAGTTGTTTCATGGCTTCTGGTCTTCATTGTGCGTTCTAGGTTTTAAGAAATTAAGAGCAACTGTTGGGTTTCTAGGGTTTAAAGGGTGGTGAGACGTGAGAGAGAGAGAGTAGATTTTCTTTTCTGGAGAAAGTGAGGCGTTAACAACATAAATTCAAACGAGGAAGGCCGCGAAAAATAACCACTGGCATTACTTGTAATTTAGGAAACAGGTAATAATCAGATGTTTGCGAACGGTATGTTTACGGTGGAATCACCAACAAAACAACCACGTGAAAAGGGTTAGACTAAATAGTGACTTTGTTTCCATACCCTATTCTTATTCCAAATCAAAATGCATATCTATTTCTATTTTTAAAAATCATCTAAATTATTCAACTATTTTTAATTTTAAATTCTACCTTGTAATAATTATCTAACTCTATCTAACAATAATATTTCAAAAATACTACTCCAAATAACTAAAGAAATGAAAATTTTCTAATGTTGTGAAGTCTCACGTTGCTAGTGTGAGAGCGGGTGTGTTTATATGGGGCTAGAGGCCTTAACCAACATAATGCGTTTTGGGTTTGAAGCCCAGGAAAAAACATGTTGAGTCTGAAGTCTAGAAACAAAACGTGAGGTCCTGTAGTGTCAACAGACAAATCATGTTCAGCTATTCACACGTCTAAGTAATTTTTTATTTTTTGAACCAAAAATTAGAAAATTCATTTCTCCTCTTTCAAAATTGAAATACAAAATTTTTAAATAGAAGAAATAAATATTAAATAGACAAAGTCCATCACGGATTTTGCTACCTTACACGAAATTAGGCGGCTTAGACAATGACAAGGGCAAGGGTCAAAATTACTAAAATACTTTTACAACAATAATATCTTACAAGATATCCATACAAAGTGAAGTAGCAAAAATGAATGTAAAAGTGAAACAAAAAGTCAAACTCATTTCACATTCCATTCATTTTTGCTACATACTTTGTAGGAGACTTTGTAAGATTTCTTTATAAGTGTAACATTATTCATATTTTAATACTTTTAAAATTACTTATTTAAATAATATAATATATTCTAAATGTAATTAATTGTTAATCAAGTATCATAAGTGTGAAATGGGATGATAAAAATTTCAACCATAATGTTCAATTTTTTTTTTTTTTTAAAATAGAAAAAAATATAATATATCATAATTAAGGTTTTAATTATTTTAATATAAAATTAAAAAAAACTAAATTTTAATTGGGTACAACTTAAATATTAAGAATATCAAGTTTGATGTTAAATTCTTAAGATAATGTTATTAATATCAAAGTCTTGTTAATTTCAATTTTAATGTTTATAGTTTAACTAGTTGAAAGGCCAGCGCATTGCCGGGTTGCTTATGAAATTGGTTTTGACACCACATTTTTTAATAACTGGAATTAAATAGTGGATTTTTTTTAAGATAATAACAATGGTTCGACATATTATAATGGTTTGAATAATGCACAATTGATAATTATACAATAAGGTTTGGAAATCAGATAAACATTGTTGTGATTTGGGACCAAATCACACTCTAAATCTACTGCCAATTATAACAAACACAAGATTAAAGAAGAATCGAAGACACAAACAATTACCGTGGTTTACTTGTTAAGATTTGAACAAGCTACGTCCACGTTGAGCTCCAGAACACTGAGGCTCGCCTGCACTATGTATCAAGGAAGTGTACGATTAAACTCACAAGAACTCTCAAATCTCTCTCAAACGCTATTACAAACACCACTCAAAGTAATCCTTAAAAACCTAAGAGAAATCTAACCCACTCTCTGAATCTTACCCCTTTAAAGCCCGTGGTTGCAAATTGTCAAAAATTCTCAAGTTTTAAATATATATCTTACCAGAATGTGGAGGTTGTTTGATTTGAATTACTGGCTGTTTTTCATAATTTACAGGAATATTCTGTAGTTGGATCACAAATCAGGGAGTCAATATATTACTGTTGTGTTTGTTGTTTTACTAAGCACATTAACATCTTATTGTGTGAGTGGTGTGGACTTTGCCATGCTTTGTTCTTACATGTACTGATATTTGATTTACAGACCGGATCATTAGTGTTGGATCATGCAGATGAACGTGCGTTGGGACTTCATTTACTACAATTTTCTGAGGTAGATATTTCTCCTTTGCATCTTGACCTTAGTTGGGATGTTATTTAATTAGCTCATCATATAGAATATTTACTTATGATGGATGTGTTTTCCTCACTTTTCAGGTTGTTGAGGAGGCCTGTTCTAATCTGCTGCCTAATGTTTTGTGTGAATACCTTTACAATTTATCCGAATACTTCACAAAATTTTATTCGAATTGTCAGGTATGGTCAAGACTCAATATGGTGGTAGATATTTTGTATTTGATTTCATCATTTTTTTTGGCTTGAGATGAGATAGGGAAGTAGCTCTCTAGGTCATCCTTAGTGTTGAATAGGAAGACAGCAACTAAGTATGATTTAGCCACCTTTATCAACCATATTAACTAAGCAAAGAGTTCACTGTATGCGTCTCCTCAATTTTATTATGATTGCAAGGAAATTTTAATATGTCCTGCTAGATGAAGATGCACTTAAAATTTGCATGAAAATTGTGGAAATGACTTTTTAAATTTCCTATTATGTAACTTCATTTTATTGAAAAATGGCACAGGTTGTTGGGTCAGCCGAGGAAACAAGCAGACTTTTACTATGCGAAGCAACAGCAACAGTTATGAGGAAATGCTTTTATCTTCTTGGGATTGTACCCGTTTACAAGATATGACTGTTTAAATGTGTAACCCGTTATAAAGGGTTGTAAGTTATTCGCTTCATTTAGAGATTGTATACAGAATAGCACTTTTGGCAAATTTTGGTTGGAAAATTTGGCCAGGCAATTTATAAGAAAGTCAGATTTTGAATTTGTATTATTTAATTGTGAACAATGTTTTAATAACCAACCTAGGGTGGAACTCGGCTAAGTTGTTGGGTCTCGGGTTGACTGGTTTGATTAGTCAAACCGGGTGTCAAAAAGTTTAGGGTGCACTTGGTTCATTATTCTGATATTTTTTAGAATAATATTTTGGAAAAAGTAAAATTGGGTGGTTATTACGATGTAGAATTTGGAAATTAACAAAAACATCTTCTAGGTTTGTTTATTTATTAAATACTCTTATAATAAAATATTGAAAATTAACAAAAACACTTTCACCTAACCATTAAATACTGATAATCGGTTATCATTGTGGGAGGGTGGTCGGAGTCGTCGTATTGGCGTATGAATGGTTGGATCTGACCGATCGTGCGTTGATATGATCTTTTTTGGCTAGATCTACGACTAGTCGGTTAGATATGGCTGTTGTTGATAGTCAACGACGACCATATTTTGGCCGTTGTTGATGGTCAACGACGACCATATTTTGGCCGTTGTTGATGGTCAACGACGACCATATTTTGGCCGTCGTTGACAACTGGCTACGGTTAAAGATCTGACATTTTCTGGTCAGATCCACCGTGGATCTAGTGGAAAAGGCTAGATCGGCGTACTATCGGCCAAATCCAGTCGGTAGTGCGCCATTATACCAAATTCCGGCTAGCTGCTGACGGTGGTGGTTGGAATCTGACAAATGTGGGTTGTTGGGGTGTTTTTGTCAATTTCTAAATTTTTTTGGGGGTGTTTTTGAAATTAACAAATCTAGGAGGTTTAAAAATAATTAAATACAAATCTAGGGGGTTTTAAAAGAATTGAATAATATAAAATAATATTTTGAGAACAAGGAAATAAATGTGTATTTTGGATAGAATATGGAATAAAGTAGTGAAAAATTGTGAAACAAAGGGGCCCTTCAAATTCAACAAATACATCCATGAAATTTAGTTAAGTCCCTATAGGTTTGAAATTTAACAAATACATCCCAAATACAAATCGGCTGTCGACTAGTTGACGACAGCGACATACCAAACGCAATTCCAATCACCTCTTGAGTCCACCCCATAGAAAATCTACTCAACATCAAGCCAAAATCGACTGATTTCTGTAGGATCTTACCAACGTTGGCGTTGACCTATTCGCCTAGATCTCACCATCGTTGGTGTTGACAACCCTTTCCATCACCACGAAATACTCTCTTCAGCCTCTTGACCAAAACCCATCTCACCTTACCCTCGTTCACCTTGCCAATCGTTGGCAAAAGTCGACTATTGCTACCATTGTTTTTTTTTTTTTTTAATTTTCGGTTGATTAACTCACCAGAAATCAATTTCGTCGTCACCATTGTACTCACCGGCACTTCCTCTTCAAAAGTCCCAACATCCCGGCTTTTAATATTTTGTCGATTATCATCCAAATTCTTGGGTTTTGGGTGAATAGAGAAATTGTTAACATAGCCCGGTGAAGGTCGTAGATCCAATTTTAATCGGCTGGATTTTAAAACACTAATTGTGAAGCTGGTTTCAAGATCTACCTCTATACTTATGTATTGCAGTTAAATCGGTCACATACAAGCATAACGGAGTCTCTGTACAACAAAAGCTTATGACACTCAAATGTCAGAGGGGAAATTAGTTGACTCATTACCAGACTGAATTGTGAGAAAAAAAAATGCAAGAATAGTAGTGTCAGTTTCATTGCGTAATTTTGTTTATGCGGAAGTAGATGTTCAAGAATCATGCCGTCGAAGTTCGGAGTCTTCACTTGATTCGCATCAATTTTCACAAACAAAATTGCCGAAGACGAGATTTGCCGTTTCCGACTTGGAGTGAAGTACATTATACTTCATTATCTCAAACAAGAGAAGTTGATCCTGATTCTTCAACTTAATCGGACACTTTCTCAATTTCATGTATAACAAACGGATGTAAGAATCTGTATCAACATCAATTCTCAAATGGCTGTATGTCCTGAGCATTAAAGAGGCTACGTGAATTCTATAAGCTTTAACACTTCATATAAGTAGAGTGGAGGTGGATGCAACGATTCAATACTGACGACACCTTCAACAAGCTACAAAGTTGTTGAAAAGAGTCAAATAACTTTTGAGTACATTTTCTGTGTATGGCTATAATCTTTCATCTATTAAATAAGGCCTTCCCTACTATTTATGGCACATGCAAAGATGGTTTGGTATTATTTTGGTTGGAGATCCCATGTCGAATAGATACGGTCAGTCAATAAGTTTATAAGAATGGACAATCATTTCACTCATTAAGGCTTTTTGGGTAAAGATTTAAGCCAAAAACTAACAAATATTATCAAACCATCTCTTTTGAACTGAGTGATTGACCAGAGATTGCCAAACTATCACTATTTATAGGTGCTGCCAAACGACCACTATTCATAAGCAATTACGCTTCGCTTTTATAGTGAGAGAAAACTGGACATACATATTATCAAGGAACGACGCTTTCTTCACATAATCATCCACTATATCAGTCACTCATCAACTGCGATTTTATGTATTTTTATAAATGCCATATATCACTTTTTAATATTGGTCGTTCATTTCACTTGCTGCAATTAGCACTCACATCAGTTTCAATAAGTTTGATAGCCTTTCCTGCAAATCCTTTGTTCATCTCTCATGGTATCAGCTGAGCTGTTTCTTACAAGGCAACAATTAGATGAGTAGAAGCACTAGGGAGCCTTTTGCCACTGATATTTGCAGATCTCTGTATAACGTGAATTTGTAGCTACCTTCCCTTGAAAAATTGTGCTACTTTTCATTTGGTGTTTGATTTGATCTGGGCTAAGGATCAGGATTGAGAAAAGGAATTTTGTTTGTTATTTGCTGGCATTCTACTGCAGATACCTCCCAACTTGTAACTCCATCTGAATATTTGTGATGTTTGAGAACTAATCTTGTGTCCAGTTTTTCTCGAGTTGAACGCTTAATTATAAAAAAATTTCATTCAAGTTTTTGATCTCTTTCTCAAAAAAAAAAAAAAAAAAAAAAATCATCACATAAGGTGTTACTGAAGAATGCAGATAAAGCCTCAGAATGTATTATATATCAAAATCATCTCAAGTTTAACTAGTACAGAAAACCCAAACTAGCTAGCTTGCTACAAAAAACATGCGAGTTTCGATATTCTTTTTGCCCAGATCATAAGTTCTTCTGTACTGAAGGCCTGCAACCATTCACAAAATTACTTCTATTACCCATTGATGATAAAACATCCTCTTGTAAATAGACTTCTTTGAGATAGTAGCCTTGACTGTATGATTTGTGGCCTCTAAACCAGCTGCATAGCTCTTGCAAGACTTCATTTTTAATCTACAAGAAGCTCCCTTCTTTACAAATCTTCCAGGTTCTTCACACTTGCTAAAGATGTAAAGATTGAGACTTCCCCTGATAAACTTGAAAGACCTCTTCTGCATAACAAAATTTATAAGCTTTAGAGAGAACTATAATTATTCACAACAAATGATATCATCATTCATCTCTATGCTTACTTATGGGAGTTGAGCACACAGCTCAGATAATTCATACAGGTCCATTTGAAGATGATGAAGAAGATACACATCCTGAGAAAGATGCATCCTCCATCAACTCCGTTACAAACAATGAGAAGATACAGAGTTCGTTGAATCTTCTAAGGATTCAACAGATGATACTGATCACGAAATTTCATTACTACCTTCTATAATGACCCACTGATCATCTGGTTTATTTTCAAATTACTCAGATGTTCAAAAACTGGTTGCTACCATCCATGACACCACTTCACAAAATTCAGAAGTTGAATTATTGGTTCGATTCTTCAAGATCTATTGAAGACTTTTCTGTTGTATGGTCTTTGAAGAGGAAGCTATATTGTATATATACTAATACCTTTATACTCGGTGGCCAGCAAAGATTGGATAATGTTGACCATTTTATTTATTTGTTTATACATTAAAATCAATATGATGAGATTTGTAATTATCAACTGTGTATGGTTTAAACTTATTGCCTTTCCCATACACAGGAAAAGGATAGGTCTAATTTTGAAGACATCCATATCCGAGTCACCTCTTTTTTTATATGGCTGAAACTCAGGTCACCATCTTTGGCAACTTTGCCTCATAAAGCTATGACAAATTGGCATATTTCCCCATTTCAGGCCAATAACCAAAGTAAAAGTTTATGCCCAAGAATCTCTACACTTAGCAGACCGCACCAATTTTTGTTGGGCATGGATAATACTTCCAACAATCTTGTTTAACTGATATAATTCAAGAATTTCATTTTTCACCTTTTTCACTCATGTGTACAAACTTTATTTGTCTTTACTCATTTCTCATGTGGAAACAATCCCAGATCTTTAAAAATATAATATATAGTATTTATCTAATTTATTATGATGTATTAAAGCTGTAAATAATTATGGATATTCGGGTTATGAGCTTAATATTTAAGGGGGAAATTAAGGTAGGTAAGGATAAGAAGTTGACTTAGATTAGATGATAAAGGAAAAGCATGTGGGTATGTGATGGGCACCCAAACTGCACCACATGCTACTGCCAAATTTAATTCTTCTAGTAATTCTTCCATAAAATATAATGCACTCTCACTCACCTTTTCTTTTATTATTATTAATGCTTTAAACCTTTTACTACTATTTTTCTAATAAATGACTTGCCCTTCCTAATTCCCATTTATGTACCAACTGATTTTCTCGTAATAAGTCCTATCCGTTTTCTCATCTCGTTTGGGCACGCGGAGTTGATGATGTAGTTCTCTATTTCATTGAAATACAAGTCTGCATATGTAAGGACATAAATGGCATAATTAATATAATAATAGCGAATTTAAATATGTTTCCTGAAATGAAAAAATTGAGTCTGTTACTCATACGACCTTGATGAAAAACATAAATTGCGTATTGGAATTTGTAATTTCTTTTCATAATTATTATTCTTTTTAGAATACTAATTTGATACACACCTACT